CAGCAGGACACATTCTTTTTCAAAGAACAAGGGCATGCAGTAATATGAAATTGCCCGGTAAGTTCAATTTTTTCTAACATGTCAGTTGTTTAACCTAGCTTTAAGGACACTTTTTTATTATTATTTTTTGGTTTTAATACCAGTGATGCTGCTCTTTGTCAAATCACTACAGGTTAGGGAAAAAGGATGAAGTCAAGCGGTTTTAACTTACTTTAGTTGGAAGGGTGTACTTTCCATCAGGCAGAGGAACACTCTGAACGTCTCCACACGTGCCACACACAAAAGCCAGCTTCGTGCACAGGGGCTTGATGTTACTGACACGCACAACAGTCCCACGCAGAGCAATATACTTGCCATAGCAGTTGGCCCGAACGTTTTTCAGTTGAGTTAGTGGATCGTAGTTGTACACCCTGTAGAACAGTTATGCATTAATATTTTGAAAGCTTACCGTACTTAAATGCAGAACACAAATTGGAAAAAAACCACACAAATAAACCAAACAGAAAACCCACCAAACTCAAGCAAACAAAAAAGATCCCACACTCAACAACAAAAGAACATTTACATACCAATTATTATTAGGAAAATATTTATAATCATTGTGCACTGCTTCTAGAACAGTAATCCAGAGCAATTATTATTAGTAATCCAGAACAATGATTAGAAATATTGTCCTGTTCTAGAAGCAGTGCACAATTATTATTAGTAATCCAGAGCAATGATTAGAAATATTGTCCTGTTCTAGAAGCAGTGCAACATTTAATATTCCTCAAGTGTATATACCTCAACAGCTGTACAGTTTGCTTATACAGTGACACCTCCCTCCTGTAAACAACTGAGAAATTTCTTCATAATCATTTATAACTGTCTCTTTGAATTATTTCAGAGTAAGACCAGGGCTTAGACTTACAACACGAAAGGATCAAAGATTTACTATGCTTATGCTCCAAAAGGAAGGATGGGTTTGTGTGTTTCAAGGACACAAAATTTCAAGTGTTTTAATTTGTATAAAATAAAAATTAAAAAAGGAATTTGAACTCAAATAGGATTTATATTCCCAGTCTTCTTCAGATTCCTAAAGTCTGAGAGACCATTACTCCTGATAAAGAAAAAAAAAATTTGTGCTAATAACTTGTTTCATTAAGAACTCCAAGGAATTCACATCCTTAAAATTGTAACGGTAATCATAATTGTTGTAAGTACACACTTATTCTCAAATAGTGTAACCTCAGCTTCTTCATTTCAAATTAAAGTTTGATTAATTAGAATTAATATTGAGACTGTCTACCAGTAATCATTTAATAGATTTATGCTCATAGGAAGTGATCCTCATACAACACTGTCAAAACATCAATAAAAGAATAATTACTATGACCAGCTGTAGTTTATGTTCACACCCTCCAAGTTAGCCTTCCTACAAGGCCAAGCCTTTTGCTAACAAAAGGCTGGAGTATAATCACTTCCTAACTTCTCGAGTAAACAGCAGAAATTTAAACAGTTCTGGTTTTAATCAATATATGTTTCATAGAATAGTTGTTCTACTTATGAGTTACTTCTCTGCTTCTAAGCTTTTCTAGTCATAAGCTGTTTGTTCAGCTTAGAAGCCGGTTACATTTCACTTTGTTTTCACCACAAGCACAGTTTAGACTTTGTTGTTGCGAATTAAAAGAGAAAATTCAGACTGTTATTCTGGAAACAGCTTCACAGAGTCAAATCTTCAAATAAGATAAATACATCAGCCTTCAGCAACATGCATGGACACTGACAACTGTTAGACAAGTAGCCAGGAGATCTTCCTGGGGAAAAAAACCCAAACCAACAACCTGACATCCCTTACCTAGCATGAATAAGAGGCACATTTATTATCGGTTCTCCATCAAGCGGCAATCCTTCCTGCACCTGCAGCTCTGCAGCGTGCCTTTCAAGGTCCTTCGTTAGCACCTAGATAGAACAGAAAGGCAGACACAAATGCAGTGTGTCACATGGATTCAGTTTGCTATTAAATTTGATTACCATCCCTCACAATCAGATCCCCCCCTAAAGAGCTCTCTGCTGCCTAGTGACCCCTCATTAAAAAGTGTTTTTTCTGCTTTTGAGAAGTTTTAAGCTTCATCTTACATGGAATTTAAAATCAACGTATTTGTTGTGTTTGTTTTCTTAATTTAAAAGATGTATCCAATAGTCTTCAGTGCTGCAGTTGATGTGTGTTCTGTTTGACTAAACCTCAAACATGTGAGAACACGCCTGCCAGCGAGCAGTGAAGCGCTGCTTTAAGAGCCGTTGAACAGAGCGAGGAATATTTGAACCCGCCAACCAGTCACCCAGCAGCCACGGTTCTGCTGCGTGAGGTGGGACAACTCACAGCTACCCAAACAAAAAGCAGTTAGAACTCCCAGTAGCAAGTAATACGAGTGTTAGAACCACATTTGTTTTTAGTCGACTGCTTTGACAATGAATAAGCAAAATGCACCGAGAAAAAAGCATTTTCAAAATGTGATTTTTTGGGGGGCCATACAGAAATGGCAGAGAGACTGAAGAGTTTGAGGTTTAAATGAATAGTAATTTCCTGTACGACAGAAAAACAGAGATTGTGGTTTTATGACATAATTGCCTCCAAGTCACACTGATTCTTTTTCCTTGAGAGGGTTATGCTTCTATGCATTAGAACATAATATTTACCTGATGAATTGCCAGACCAATACAGTGCAGTATTTTCTGAGGCATTTCCCTTAATTCAGTAGATATATTTGGTATTGACTTAGTCAATTCTCTGTCTTGTATTAGTTCCTTATAATCCACAAGTATACTTCCCTTTCTTTCAATTTCATCCTGTGAAACATTTTAAATTAAAAAATACACTCAGAGTTGTAACCACAACACATCTAAGTCGTATCACAAACATTTCATACCATGGAGAAAATAGACAAAATTTGTAATGTTATTATTTCAGGATCAGGTTGTGGGGTGGGACATGTTTTGGTATTACCTTATCATAAAGCTCGATGCGTTGCATGAAAAACTTTTCAAAGGCTTGAGTCTTCTGGACAAAAGGAGACTTGTCAGCATAAGCTAATTAGAACCATTGCAGTGTTAGTAACTGACATAACTGATTACTTCCATGTCACAAAAATATACAAACATGCAATTTCTCTTCCATTATTTTTCTGCATTCCAAAACCGAAAATCATAGCTCTCTACAGTATCACAATAACATTTTATTATAAGACCTGTTACAAAACAGAACAATATCTAAGGTGATGCAGGACAAGCACACAGAATCCAGAAAAGTACAGTAGAGGTGGGTATATTCCAGTCTTTGATAGACTGCAGGTTTTATATGGATAATTGAACCACATTTAAGAAGGATCATATTTTACACTATTCAAGATTCCTTTCCAAGATTTGGAGTCCACAGAGATTACAGTGTGCCATAAGATTGAAATCTCTGTTGTATTCATGTTTTATAAAAACATACACAAATTTCAGTTGCTTTCTGTTGAACTCGTCCCTTTTACTTATAACCAAGTCTCAAAAAAAAAAAAACAAACAGAATAAAATACTTGCTGTGACTAATTTTGGTCTAAAAATACCTTCGGTGAAATAAAGCTTCCAGCCTTTATAGGGAATAAACTGGTCCAGCGTTGATTGAACTAGTCGAGGTCTTACTGAATAAAAGATGAAAATGCAGATTAAAACAACGTGGACACCACAACTCTGCAAGTTTTATTCTTTGACCTCCGGAAGGCAAACAGTGCAAAAGGAGGTCAAAAGAAAAGGGTTACCGCTTCAGAGAACGGCACAGGAGCTGGCTCACCGGGTTCAGGTACTCTTCTCCACTCTCCCTTCTGTCCTCTGCCTCGCCACCGCGGAAAGCCCCTTCCCCGGGCCCATCCCCTGCCTCTGAGCTCCTTACTCATCTCGCTCCGCAGGCCTCGCCTGGGGGACGCGACAACAAACTGAGCTAGAGGAACAGAAACGCTACCAGAAGGCACTTCATTAGGGCTACCTGCCTGCGGGACTAAGAGCCAAGGCCCCGCGGCAGACCCAGCCTCCCTCTCCCCAAGGGGGAGCCCCTCAGGAAAGGG